GGGAATTTGGGGATTCGAGAGTTTGGAGTTTGGGGAATTTGGGAATTCGAGAGTTTGGAAAATTTGGGAATTTGGGGATTTGAGAGTTTGGAATTTGGGAAATTTGGGAATTTGGGAATTTGGAGATTTGAGAGTTTGGAAAATTTGGGAATTTGGGGATTTGAGAGTTTGGAATTTGGGAAATTTGGAAATTTGGGGATTTGAGAGTTTGGAATTTGGAAATTTGGGAAATTTGGGAATTTGACTATTAAATTATTTTTCTCTTTGTATATAAAATTAAGCTTCTATCAATTCATTGCCTCACAAACCTTAAATCCTCTTTTTGTTAATATACTAAATTGCCTTTCTATTAAATTATTTACATTATCAAGCAACGTAGTTATTTTGACGTAAAGTTATAAATATAGTAGGGTATGGAATATAAAATTGATGGCTAAATAATAAATAATGAATTGAATTTGCAGATCCAAACCGAACTTCAAAATTCCTGTTTCAAGAGGCTGATATTCAGCATGGGTATGCACGCGAAAGAGGCCCAGATCAAAAAGGGTATCATCAGAAATAATAGCCTGTGGGATAAATTAGTGTTTGCAAAGATCAAGGAATCGACAGGAGGAAGGTTGAGACTGATGATGGTGGGTTCAGCTCCGTTGGCGGGAAAAGTGCTCACGTTTGCCAGGTGTGCTCTTGGATGCTTGATCGTCGAGGGATACGGGCAGACAGAGTGTTGTGCACCGATTACGCTTACTGTTCAGGTTAGATCCATTTTAATTTTTAATGAGATTTAACATACTCGTTAGAGATAGACTTTAATAAATTATTACAATTTATTGCAATTAGAATTACAATGTATTTTGGTCGAATGATGAAAATGATCGAGTCGAAGAAATACATTCTTATGTTCTAAGAAATATTTTATGGAAGTATTGATTACTTTAAGAGTAGAAATATTTAGAGCATTTTATTTTCTTTTGGAAGGACTTTATATGCAATTTGATAAATTTTGTTGATTAGCAAATATACGAGGTATCTATTGAAGAATGTCTTTCGAACCCAATTCAAAATTAACGCGATAACTATACAGATTGACTCATAAAACGAGAAACAGATATGTTTCTATGTAAATAAGATGAATGGACACTTCTATGGTGGGCGATGTCAGTTTAAGTGCTCATAACTTTTCCCATGATGTTGTTTTTCAAAACAGGGATCTTATTCCTATTTATGTCACGTTCTATTTCAAAATGTATTAATAGTGAATCTAAAAAAAAGAAATAGTTTGATACAAATTATCTATGTGTCTCTAACAGTTCATTATTTCATAAATGTTTATTTTGTAAATATTAATTTATAAGCGTTTACAAAATCAAACTATACCTAATTGATTTAATATTAGATAAAATATTTGCATGATATATTTGTTAATTTTAAAACGCTTTATGCAGATGACAAGAATGTGATTTTATTTAAATAAAAATGATGCTCTTGGAAACTTTACAAACAACTGACAAGTATTTTTTATTTTTAGAAATGTATCTGCTATCTTTATACTGAACTTCTTATTTTCAAAAGCAACAGGAATACTTCAATGCAATAAATTTTTACAAATCTCTAAATTTACACATTCACTAATTTCGACAACTTCTTTGCACATTTAATCTAAAGTTTCAAACTTGTACAAATGAATGTTTTTATGAAATATAAAATATAAAGACATTCATATAAAAAAGATTGTCACTCGAGTACAACCATAAAGTATTAACAATTCTTGAACACAGTGTATACAATTAATTTCCACGATATGAACCGAGTAACAGGCAGAAAGCACCTCTAGGTCAAAATGGCGAATTTCCTCCGCGAGTGCAGCAACCTCGACCAAACCGCTGCGCTACTTTGAACACACCTACCGTTTAACTGTGTCTTGCTCAAGCAGAATTATATGTTGAGTGGAATGCAAAGAGGGGAATAAGTGTGTATGTTAACAGACGTTTTAACTCGAAGCGAATACATAGTTGATTCTCGAAGTAGCCGGTCAATAAACGCTCCGCAAATAAATCGCACACCCGCTGAGTCATGGAACTCAGGTGCAGATTGATATAGTCATCGACGAGGTAGAAAAATAAGCCACGTCCGATTAAAAAATAAATCGTTAAAGGTTAAGGTCAACTTTAAGCAATTTAATGCATAGCACTCGATTTGCAAACGAACTTAACTGCATATAACTCTCTTTTCAACTTTCTGACGGGGGATTTAGTTTGGCTTTGTTAGTTTGGTTACTTAGGTTTTATGTGATGGTTGAAGGGATGCTGATTAATGGAAAATTATTTACTGTTCTTTCTGAATATTTGTTCGAGGAAGAATATACATTTTATTGATGTGAAAGATTATTTGAGAATCATAGAAAGATAAGTGGAATGCAAACTTTATACTAGTATGAAAGGAAAGAAGAATTTGTTTGTTCAGATTTTGAAATTTAATTTAAAAGATGATCTTCGAAATTTAATTTAAATGATGATCTTCAAACTTTAATTTAAAGGATGAACCTCAAGTTTAGCTAAAAATTTGATCCTCAAATTCAGTTCAAAAAGTTGATCTTAAAATTAAGTTAAAATAAAAATATGATATCCAAAAATTAAATTTAAAGAATGAACCTTAAATTTAGTTAAAAATTTGATCTTCAAATTCAGTCTAAAAATTTGATCTTCAAATTCAATGCTAAAATTTGATTTTTAAAAACAAAATATAAAATAGCAGATAATAATGATGGATTGAAGAACAATGAGCAATGAGGTTAATTAAATGAGGTCATTTAATTTCAGTCGAGAACCAACGATCAAGAAAGAACGATCAAGTAACATACGTGATCACTATTCTTGGCATATTTGCAGGTATCGATGTAGCTAGAAGACACCAGCTAATATTTATATGCGGGCGTAGGTATTTGTGTCGAGTCATCGAGTAAAAAATTTTGCAACCACGCGCCAAAGCACGTGGCGGACCACGTCAGTTGTACAACATCTGCTTGCAAATATACGCGCAACTGCTGTAAAACGTTGCATCGTTTCTGTACACTGGCCAACTTGTTCAATTGCTCTGAACAAGATTTCAAATATTTTTATAATGTGGAGTCCATGATTTTGATGGTTGGAAATTTGGAAATCTTAGAATTAGGATTTGGCAATTTGGGGATTTGAGAAGTTGGGATTTGAGAGGTTGGGGATTTGGGAGATTGGGGATTAGGGAGATTGGAAATTTGAGAGATTGGGAACTTGGGAGATTGGGAACTTGGAAGGTTGGGAATTTGAGAGATTGGGGGCTCGAGAGATTGGGAACTTGGGAGATTGGAAATTTGGAAGGTTGGGAATTTGAGAGATTGGGAACTTGGGAGATTGGAAATTTGGAAGATTCGGAATTTGAGAGATTGGGAACTTGAGAGATTGGAAATTTGGAAGGTTGGGAATTTGAGAGATTGGGGGCTCGAGAGATTGGAAATTTGGAAAATTGGAAATTTGGAAGGTTGGGAATTTGAGAGATTGGGGACTCGAGAAATTGGGAACTCAGGAGATTGGAAATTTGGAAGGTTTGGGAATTTGAAAAGTTAGGATTTGAGAATTCGGGACTAGAAAATTTGGGTATTGAAACTTTGGGACCTAACAATGTTGCTATTTGAAAACATAAAAATTCGAAAATTCACAACTTCCATTTTAAGAATAAGAAAGCGGAAGATGAACGTACCTAAACATCTTGTAATTGTTACAGGGTGATCATGTGCCGGAACATGTGGGACCGCCGGTCCCTTGTTGCTGTATTAAATTGGTAGATGTTCCAGAAATGGAATATTACGTCCACAAAAATCAGGGTGAAGTGTGTATTAAGGGTACTAATGTGTTCGTGGGATACTTCAAAGATCCTGAAAAGACTGCTGAAGTTATTGATGAATTCGGTTGGCATCACACTGGAGACATCGGCATGTGGTTACCTGTAAGTAGGCAGAGATGTTACTTGAAATCATTATTAAATAATTATTCTGTAACAAACTTTATTTATAAACAATGCTATTAAAAATGAAGGAAGGATGTTTCATTTAAGGAAAATAATACAAAGTTTCATTTTTTTTCTTTTATTAAGATTGTAATTTATAGAAAGTTCAATAAATACAAGCACTTTGAAATTTATTAAATAAAGAAAACGTATGAATTTATTTTTCATTGATTTTTAGGGAAATAGTCACATTTTATAATAGTGAGAAAAGTAGAAATAAAACAGTGCTTCGTGAAAGTTGTTTTTAATAACTTGAGGAATAACTGCGTACAGGACATAACAAAATTTTCGTCATTACAACCATACAATACAGAAATACAAATAAATAATGTAAATTTAAAATTCAATTAATACTTTGAGTCCCATATTTAGCTATATTAATTTTCACAGGACCTAAAATATAAAATGTCCATGAAATTTTACTATCATAATTACAAATTAAAATTGAGTATTACTAAAATAATATATTAATTAAAAACGCTACCAATTATTAAATATTTACTAAAACATGAGTCAAAGTATTAATTCGTAACGAATAAATAAATAGTACAAGTAATCGCTTAATAATCGCTAAAAATGTCTTCTACTTTACAGAATGGAACCCTCAAAATAATCGACCGAAAAAAGCACACGTTCAAGCTATCACAAGGAGAGTACATAGTTCCAGAGAAAATCGAGGCAATTTATTTGCGAAGTCAATACGTGTATCAAGTATTCGTTCACGGGGAGTCACTAAAGTCTTGCGTCGTAGGAATAGTTATTCCAGATGTTGATGTTGTAAAATGTTGGGCAGTGGAGAACGGTATACCCGGTACGCTAAGTGTGTTATGCGCTAATCCGCAAGTCAAACAGTTGATCTTGGATGATATGCTTGCTTGGGGAAAGGAAGCTGGTCTGAAATCCTTCGAACAGGTACGCAAATATTTCATACTTTCAACCAAAAAACAATTTAAAATATAATCCAGAAAAAATCTTTTTAAAACTATTATTTAATACTTACATTAATTATTGCACAAATATTGTATGTTCACTTGTAGTATTTTACAGAAAATTTTATATGTCCTTTATTCATCATTTTATATAATAAAGTTTGTGCCATTAAAATAACATAGAGACATCGACAAAAATATTGTTTACAAGATGTGTGTGATTTTAACAAACATTAATTTATATAAAGTGGATATACAATATTTATGTAGCAACACTGATCTCTTTTGCACAAATGTTTCTACTTTTTTCTGAGTTTTTATTGGTGATGTTCCAGGTGAAAGATATTTATTTACATCCTGATCCATTCTCCGTGCAAAACGGTCTTCTTACGCCACAATTGAAAACAAGACGACCTCAATTGAAGGAGTACTTCAAACCACAGATAGAGGACCTCTATCGACATTTGGCCTGATCAGACTAAAAGCATTGATTTTGATCTTGTTTTCATTAGCAATAGAAACAACACGAAGAACCGAGATGCGTTTCTGTCACATTCACAGGAATCACTTCCTTCGAATCATCGAATACTCGTAATCCGCGATACTTTTATTATTATATCATTTTCACGATTACATAGCAACGCAAGATAAGGAAAGCACCGTTTAGGCTATTAAGGTAATTGATAACATTATAATAAAATGAATTCTTATTAGGCGCGTCTGACTTTCTCTTCAGTAATCATCCTTCGACACTTGTATTTACAGTCTTCTTCGCCCCCCTCGTCCTTGTATTTTGATACAGATTATCGTTCTTATACGATTAACTAACAGTATGTTATAAATCGGTGATGGCCAATTGCGGACACTGATGGGCACTTAATTTCTCAATGTCAAAATCTGAAAATTTTGAAGTCTCATAAGTTGAAATTTCCTATATTTGGATTTAGAAATTTCTATACTGACAACTTCCCAAATTTCCGAACACCCAAATCCACAAATTCTGAAATTTTCAACCTCCTCTCAGTGAATACCTAAATTTGAAATTTTCGTGCACATCGATGCCCGTGAGCTCTTCAGCTTGATCCATCACCGTTATAGATGTATATTTTTACGAATAACAATAACCGACCAGTGAATTACGATTTAGTACAAAGTAGGCTATTCAAAAAACGCGTATATTGTTCACTTTCGTAAAATGCAATCGGGCACGTGTGTGTTATGTAAAATAAACTTGACATTTACAACAATAAATAGATTACAAAATTGGATAACTTTGGAGATCATAAGTGATTCATACTTTTTAGACGGCTCGATCATTTTTGCTTGTTAATAACATTTTTATATCGTTAATATTAGTTCTTGATTAATGGTATTTTATCAAATTTTAAGCGTTCATCGATGCGCGATAAGAAATGCATATTAAATCGGTAGCCGTGACTATTTTGAACAATTAAATATAGAAAGTATGCAAAATTATACGAAATGCTCCAAACAGGTGGAAAGATTAATAAAAGGATGTCGTAAGACATTCCTCTAATACAGCTTAAAAATCCTCTAACAAATGTTGCATTCAATAATGATACTTTGACCATGGATGTTTACGCATTTACGATATGTCGAAGTCGACAAAGTATACATAAATATTTTGCTGCCTTCAATACATCAGAAATGAATAAATATCTGCAGTTTAACGATAACATTTTGAACTCACTGGATAGTGAATGCAGCTCGAGTCGATATTCCATTCAATTAATCGTCCTACTTGCATCTTCAGCCTTAAGATTTAAAGCTATAGTACACCACAACACAAGCAACAATTATAAGTGTTAACGCTACCGCTGCTAAAATAATTCTTTGCTGAAGGCTTCTAAAAATCATTCCTGACAATAACCGAGAACCACGTCCCAGCTCTGCATCAGTGTCTCTTAACTGGAAAAAAAGACGAACACAATTATTAGTAATGATAATGATCAAAAACAATGATGAACATATTTGTATTTCATTTCTTTGAAACAAAATAATATTCATTTTATAAAATACAATATGTTGTGAAGTTCAAATCAATATCTTACTCTTGCCCTTCCTCTTTGGATCGTCTCCCTTTGATCATGCAATTCTTTCAACACCTGAGTACCAATTTCTTCTGTTTCTAATACCATTCGATAACCATTTTGTAAAGTTCTTCCACTCCGATCTATTCGTTCTGAAGTGTCTAACAATCTTTTTTTCTGATCCTCTGTAATATTGTTCTCCCATGAATCTTCTCTGCCTATTTCGATACTATCATCCTTTGGCTTTTTAGCTAACTGAAATTCCTGAGTTAATCTTTTCAATTCTGCTCTGTGACTTTCTACTCGACCGCGTAGGCGATCGCGAGCAGCACCATTCACCCCACGAACCTCCAGTTCAATTTGCTCCAGCTGAAAGATACAAAACCAAGCAATTCGACATGAGATAAATTTAATGAAAGTACATGCTCCCCATATAACAATGGTACTAGAATATCAGTCATTTATGCGCTTTTATATCGAAGAATATCATTATACGAAAATCAAGTCTAACCCCAAAGTACAAAGAATGAATTGAGGGATCTCGAATAAGTCAAAACTTTGATTTCCTAAAATTACATTAAAATAGAATACCGAACAAAATGCTCTACTTACCAGCTCCTGAGCTTCTTCGATTTGCCTATCCACATCTTGAATGAAAGCTCTTTTCTCACCTAAAAAATTACGTCACGTGTATCGATTATTGTTGTTTAATAATGCCAGAAGTCACATAACATTTGCTATAAAAACATTGATCAGTGTTTTATGATAAATCGATTTCTAGGATTCTGATTCCTCTGTACTTACTGCCGCTTTGTGTTCTTATTCTACCAATTTTTGCAGTAATGTCAGCTGTCAAAACGGCGTATTGTTGCTCATAGTTCTCAATGAGCGACGCCATCTTGATAATATTTCCATTGGCGACACATAAAAGGGAAGGGTAAAGTTCACTATATGCGTACAACTTTTGTAGTTGCGTTCTAAAATCAGCTGAGAATATACAAATAATCCTATAACCTATTCAATGGGAAATCAAAAGCAACGTGGCTAACTTCAGTAGGCTCCCCACTACTGAATACTATGAACGTCGGCTATATACAGAGTGGACGAAAGTATTGGATTACTTTTTAATACCCTCTCACTTTTCATAATGTTGTTCAATATATTTAATAAAATTATAAGTGTTTCAAGTATTTGTAAAGTTGTTATTAAGTCCTAAGTCTGTTTAACATTTTATTCCTCATAGCGCCATGTTCTCAAACACATGACACGTCTACAAAAGCGGTGAAATTAGTTCTGCACACGAAACACTTTTAATAAGAAGAACCATGAAATGTCTTTTCTAGTAATTCGTTTACTGAATAGTACAAATATTATACGATAATTAAGTTTGAATGCCAACGAAATAATAAAAAAAAAGAAACGGTGAAAGATAAAATCTTTGAAATGAGGCTACGGAATTGACACGTCATTGATAAAACACCAATCGTAAGGGGAATTTAAAGAGTACTACCAATCGTTTTAACCGGTTACGCGGACGACCACGGTAAATTTACTTTCGATTCAACAGTCGAAATGAAGATGGCTGCGGAGGTGAGGTGGCTTTTAATTTTTCACGTATTTTGTCTAATTTGTACGGTCTTTGGTGAATTACCCCAACGGAAATTCGAATATAAGTACTCGTTTAAGCCACCGTATCTTGCGCAAAAAGATGGAAGTGTGCCTTTTTGGGAATACGGAGGAAGTAAGTAATATCAGAACCTAACCAATTTCCTACAGTATTAAACACTTCCGTATGTTATTTCTTGCGTTCGGCTTTTTGATTATTTGTATGAAACACGATGTTTTTTCAGCTTCAAACAGTTTAAACTAACCAGCTTTTTTACTGCAGTTATATTTGACACTTGAAAATGATATTATTTGACAGAACTTGATAATATTATCGCGACAGATGTTTTTATTTACATCGTGGATCTTAATTTTATTAGTTACACAACTTGAAATTAAATTTAATTATAATCAACTATCTGTATGAGTGAATTGAATTGGAGTTGATTTTTTAGTGTTTGTGTATGCACAAATATAATCTTTGTTTCAGATGCTATTGCTAGTGCAGAAAATGTAAGAGTGGCTCCATCCTTAAAAAGTCAAAAAGGTACATTATAATATAAATGAAAATGTTTAAAAATATATGTGAAAAGAACCCTTGTATTATTAGCAAAGATTTCAAATGATGTTTAGGTGCTATCTGGGTCAAGCAACCTGTAACTTTTGACTGGTGGGAGGTTGAACTGATATTTAGAGTAACAGGGAGAGGAAGGATTGGAGCAGATGGTTTAGCATTCTGGTACACCAGTTCAAAGGGTGCTTACAATGGTACAATTTTTGGTAGCTCTGACCAATGGAATGGTCTTGGAATCTTTTTTGATTCCTTTGACAATGACAATAAACACAACAACCCCTATATCATGGCAGTACTTAATGATGGCACAAGAACTTTTGATCATATCAAGTACATAATACCTCTTAATAATTTTGATCTAGGCAGTAAAATTTTCAAGAAATAAACCTTTGTTTTAATTTTTATAGTGATGGTACAACACAGCTATCTGCAGGCTGTTTGCGTGACTTCCGTAATAAACCATTTGCTACAAGAGCAAAAATTGAATATTATCAGAACACTTTAACTGTAGGTATATTTCTGGTTCTTTTTCATGTGTTAACATATGTAGTATATAGTTTATTTGTTTGGTTCAATAATTAAAGGTGTTGTTCCACAATGGTATGACAAATAATGAGCAAGATTATGAGATGTGTTTCCGTGTTGAAAATGTTGTCCTACCAAAAGGAGGATATTTCGGAGTTTCTGCCGCTACTGGTATTTGTTATTAAAAATAATAATCTTATCATCATTATTTCCATTAGAATTGTTTGCTTAATATAATATTTGTTCAAGGTGGATTGGCTGATGATCATGATGTTTCACATTTCTTAACACATTCTCTGTATCTTCCTGGACAGTTAAGACCAGATGGTCAGAAGGTATCTTTGGAAGAACAACAAAAACTTAGTCAAGAATACTTAGATTACCAGAAGAAATTAGAACAGCAGAAAGAGGAGTACCGCAGGTAAACAGATCATTTACCGCTTTAAAATTGCATGTAATATAAATTCGCTCTATAATGATTTAATTTTATAGAGATCATCCGGATGAACATCGCGAAAAAGAAGAATTCGAAGAATATTTTGAAACTGACAATCAAAGAGAGTTGCGACAAATTTTTGCCGGTCAAAGCCAAATGTTTGAAGCGTTACGCGAGCTTCATAGAAAACTAGATGAAATACTCGGCAGACAAGAACGATCCCTAAGTTTAATATCTCAACTTCAATTGGGAGGTGAGACTTGATGTTCATAGCATACATTACATTTACATATTTGGAAACTTATATTCTTTATGGACAATATTTTTATAGGCGTTCCGGTAGGTGGTGGTCAACCGGGTCAACAGGTTCAATTGATCGACACGATACGTCGACAAGAAGTCGATACTGTGTTAAACAATCAAAATCTTATAATAAATACAGCAAAAGAGATTAAATCCTTTGTAAATGAAGTATACTCAAAGGCTGATACCATTCTTAATAATCAAGCTCGAGCTCCAACCGCGCAGGTATTTATCGATATTAATTATTTCCTGTAACATATTTTATCGAGGATATTTATTCAGGTGCAACCAATGGGATACGATTATCATTCATTAATTTCCGAAATGCGAGATGGACTTAATACGTTGAAAAGAGACGTAGGACAAGCAAATGCTAAATTAAACAGCGGTGGAGGAGACTGTCCTACAACGAATTGTCTAACCACAACAATGTTCTTGCTTTTCGTGGCAGTTCAAATGGTCATTCTTTTAGGGTATAGCATGTATCGGTAAGCATTTATTTCTTTTTATAAATAAAATAGCATCAAAGACATAGTACTACAAGGATTAATTTCCGCGCGTCGGCCATCTTTATTACTTCACACGCCGGCCGCTAGTGTCGCATGCTAGAATAATATTTGTCTGTTTCCAGGGACAATAAAGAGGCCCAGGCAAAGAAATTATATTAATATTTTTGTTTCTGATTCTACAACGCAGAAGTAAGGGGTACAAAAACAAATATTTGTTTTTGCATACTGACTCGATATTTTTATCACTTGTTAATGGTATTCGTAAAGTATGCATTTTGCTGAACATTTGTACAATAAATACATTCTTCATCCATGATAAACCTACATCATAACGTGACAGAGAGACGACGCTCTCAAATTGCGATAAAAGTAACTATTGATAATGCTCAGCTTGGTGTAACTCAGTACTTTTAATATTTCTTTGAAAACGTGATACTTCACATTGCAATCCACAGGACATAGATGTATAGAGACGACAGAAATACATGCGAAATTAAACTAAACAGTCTGATTTTGTAACAGACATTCAGTAAGTTTCGAAATGAAACGATCTTTATTGTAATTCGTTTAGATGGTTGTGTATAATATATATATAGAATGTTTCGTGCTGCGCGCACATATTTTTTTTTTTACTTAGTTTTGTTTATAATACCTACTTTTTTTTTAGATATTGATTTTTTTTTAGATATTGGTCGACGAATATAAAATGTATAAAAAATATTTGTATACACTTTTGTGTTGGATATTGGCATATCAGATACCGAAAACCGATAGCATTTTTTTCCTTGATAAATTCCGTAATTCTTATCGTTTACATAAGACGAGATAAGTATCGATCCGGTACTACATTCCCTTAGGCGAATGATCGTATTTTAAGTACGAAACGCGTTCCAAACGTGGCAGGTATATAACAATAAATATAAGAAATCATGGATATGGCTCTATCGAATTTTCAAGTACGAACACTATGTTTTATTCTCGTATGTTGTGCAAACGTGATGTCGAACAGATGATGCTGTACGATGAGAATGTTTCGTTAAGTGAATACGTACTTTACAAGCGTATACATACCGTGTATTAGATAGCAACGTAGGAAGAAGGAGCTCGAATAATCCGGAAGCTCGGCGTTCTTCAACCTTATTGCATTTGTAAAAGTTTATCGAAGATTATAAATGTATGATAAAATATATCTGATAATAAAACAACTTATAAAAAACAAGTGATAAGTTTCAAAGTTTCTTCAAACGTTCCTGAATTAACCTCTCTTTACAATTATTTAGTTTATTATATAAAACAAGTTTCTCATTAATTCTTTCGTATGTAATAACATAGTGTTTTATTAGAGAATAGAGAATGATTAAAACTAAATTTAACCACGAGTGTTATGCTTGCAAAATGGAGCAGTGCTAAACAGTGGTTCTGACTAAAAATAAAACTGATGACTAATTAAAAGCATCTAACTCAAGTTACATTCTGATGAATATCAGCATAAAGTGTGCAATGTTATCAAATTTCTTGAATGATGACAAAGCAAATATTTGTAGAAACTACATACAACGTATCTTAAAAATTACTTACCGTATAAAACTCTTCACTCTTGTTATTCAAACTTTTCGAACTTGTTACTTTAAAATACAGAAGTTTTATAAATTCCACGAATTTTCTATCAACACGAAGAAGAACAATTTGTACATTTCAGCAGTGTAAAATGGCGACGTTCCGTTGACGGAAATTGTAATTTATAACCACGAATGTTCCATCTCTTATTCATTCTAGAATCCTCGTGCACTTTGTAACAATCAGAGTTAAACGAGGCGAGGAAGAGAAAACGGGTCGTGGTTAAATCTCGCGAATAATTCAATAAACGTTGAAGTGGTTTTGTTTTCGGAAAATTTAAGAAACCAACGCACGTCTGCAATGCGACGAATGCAGTATTTTCGCTTGTTAGTTATGTAAATTTGCATTTATACGAATAAACATAATCGTTTTTCTAATAAAGAAACTTGGTGGTCTTTTACATAAAGCTTATATATTTCTTACTTTATCTTTAGTTGTTTTTAAATTAACTACTTGTACGTATATTTTTATTAATTTTATTTGTTATATTTAACACTATAAAAAGACTTATATTCCTCAATTTTTATATCTCAAATTTTTATACTTCTCAAATCTCTATTTTTATATTTTTTCATATGTTCAAACGTCTGTACATAATTTCTAAATATTTCAACTTTTAACTCAACTTTTAATATTTGTACAGTGTCATATTTTCAAACTATCCTTCCCATTTCCAATTTTCTCCTTCCAAATTTTCAATAGAAAATTTCCAAGGTTCTCGCAAAATAGAAATCGCCAAAATTCCGAGAAACATCGCAGTAAACATTATATTACGTTGAACAGAAGAAGGGGTAAAATAAAAATTGGAAATTCGGCGTATTTTAGCTGGGTCGTCCATTTCTCGGAACGTTTCACCCTCTAACAGGGTTGGTACCAGCCCCTTTGGCGAAAACACGACCAATAAGGGTAGTCACATAGTGGCGCAGAATCCGCAGAATTCAACCCCTATTGCGGCAACCAGCCTCGATTGGCGCTGCACGATCCAATCAAAATCCACCTGTTATTGATCCCGAGGGTTGAATTGTTGAAACTTTTTTTATTGGCGAAGTTGTAAAGTGTTTTATGACCGACGCAGAACTGCCGGCAGCGTTATCCTGCGACCGTGAGTTATTAAAATTGTCGGGGACGCTTCGATGTTTTCCCGAATTAATGGAGAGATTTCGCTGAAATGATCGTTGGTATGGCTATTATCATTTTTCATCTCGTGGCGTTTTGCAAACTTCCCTTATCACTTGTTTTTGCATAATTCTTATCATAACAGTTTGCATAGGAACGTACAAGTTTTTATAGAAGTCTTTTATATTAACCTCTTCGAGGATGGTTCATATGTGTATGTTCTTTTTTAATTCAACAAGTACTTGATAATAGATAATAATAATAGATTCATTTTTCTTGTATGTTATTAAGTTTTTTGGAATATTTTCAAGTGAGTAAACTACTACATATCACATCAGAATTAATTTTTTTCTTGGATATATAAAAATCGTCTGTGAAGAGGTTAGTGACGTCGAATAGCATTAATCGAATAGCTTTCAAAATGATATTATTATTGATATTATTTTTGCGAAACATTTATACATAATATATAAATACAGCAAGAATAAAAATATAAGCAATAGTACAATGTTTTAATATTAAATTTCTCTCTTGCAATTTAAACTGACTTCATAAATAAGGGATGTTTGCAATCAAATTTCTACTTTAATCAATATACTACTGAATATAATCTAATAAGTTTGGAATATTTTATTAAAATTCATTCTACAACCAAGTTCAATTAAAAAGCACGACACACTTATTCAGGACATTTCAAGATTTATTAGAAAGATTGTATATTTTCTTAAAAAACCTTTTCATCTCCGCGAAGAGTACGATTATTTTCATAACAAAGTGGATGGGAGTCGGAAGGGTGAAAGTTGAAAAAACAGGACCCCTTGGAATAACAATTTAGAGAAAAATTAACACCACTTTACTGAGTAAGCATGAGTTACCCTCGCTGTGATATAAATGGCGTACAACCCCCATTAGTATGACAGAATCTGAAAAAAGTGGCTCAGGGAGAATGAAAATATCTTGAGCATTTATACGAACGGAGTAAAATGTCTTCTATGGAAGAATATTGCAAGAAAGTTTTATCTTTGTGTTTGGATGTTACTTTATTTTTAGGGTTTTTAAATTTGCAAATTTGGGGATTCATAAATTGTTAGATTTCTATATTCCTAAATCTGTATTCTCAAATTAATAATTTCTCCAACTCTCAAAATTCTCAATTCTAAAATTTCCAATTCTAAAATTTCCAATTCCAAAATTCCCCAATTCCCAATGTCCCTAATACCTAAATTCCCCAATTTCTAAACTCCCCAATTTCTAAACTCCCCAATTCCAAAATTCCCGAATTCCAAAATTCCAAATTCCAAAATTTCCAATTCCAAAATTCCCCAATTCCAAAATTCTCGAATTCCAAAATTTCCAATTTCAAAATTCCCCAATTCCCAACGTCCCTAATACCTAAATTCCCCAATTTCTAAACTCCCCAATTCCATAATTCCCGAATTCCAAAATTCCCGAATTCCAAAATTCCCAATTCCAAAATTTCAAATTCCAAAATTCCCCAATTCACAACGTCCCTAATATCTAAATTCCCCAATTCCAAAATTCCCAATCCCAAAATCCCCGAATTCCAACCTCCCCCAATACTCAAATTCCCCACCTCCCATATTCCTCCACTTCCCAAACTCCTCATCTCCAAATTTCAAGAACCACATCTCTCCAAAAAAACGCCATTTAATTATCACCAATATCTACAAAATCACAATCGTATCCCCGAATCTCATTTAAATTTCATATTTTCCCTCCTCCTTCAACGCTCGTTCCAATAAATCAGAAACTCACTTCTCCGTGTCCAATCATCGATAGTGCGACTTGCGCGACTGTGACAAATCGAAATACTATATTCAATCGCGTGTGCACATCAGCAAGGGTGAAGGCGGTTATCTTCTAATAGATTCATATAAATATATACAACTCTGTGTAAATGTGGAGCAATACCCGCCGATCGGGATTTATGTAACGGGTCTCATGCTTTGAGAGAATGATTTAAGATCCACGGGGACGTAATTCCACGAGCGATTTGGTTGATCGAATCGCTGAATTGCGTACATCGATTCGATTGATTAAAAGCTTGCCGCACTTTTAGGGTGACCCGATTGAAAATCATATTCCATGGGGTTCCGTTTTGTCGGGATCGTGTTATCGGTTCTCTTAGCTGGATCAACCCCTATCGACATCCCCCTTATTTTATTCATATATCCAGTTTTGCTGGATATTGCGATGGTTAACCTAGAATTTGTTCGATTAAATTATATTAATTGATGTTGGACTATAAATTTATTGGTGGACTTTTATGGAGCTTGTGATGGACATTTATGCATCTAACTCCTAATGAACTATTATGGATCCAGCTCATATTCAATTTATAAAGGAATAACTGAAGAGAGGAATTAACAACAGTTATAAATGGTGTTTTCTTTAAATATTTCTCTTTTATATGTAGTTTCTGTGAAACACAAGCTTTGATATATTTTATGAATACAATTTTTATAAGTGAAAATTGTTTTCCTCAAAAGTATAACTCTGGTATAATATTATTTATTGCAAGTTTACAATCATTAATCTCAAAAAAAATAATCCAACAAAAATTATGGTAGTAACTCAAAGTTGAAGCACTCAAATTAATTATAAATATTCTACTAAAAGTATTTATAAAATTGAATACATATATTATAGCCTATTATATAAATTGCAGTTTGCAGAATTTCTCTGAACAATCCGAGCGATTTTATCGGACCATGAGTTACGGTGTTATTGGAAACAATTGTTGATGACATTGTAACTTTCCACCATCTTTCACAAGCGAAAAAAGTTAGAACAGTAAAGACAAAAAGTTCTCCCTCGGAAGAGGAAGCTAGATGGCATTCTGCTCGTCAAGCTCCACCGAGCAAGGAACAATAAGAATTTATTGCTGAAAAAGGAGCACCACGAATGATGACATTTATAATCTTTCGCGAAGAGCATAGATCAACGATGTTTTTGCTCGGCTTACAGGGGTGTCTCCGGACGGTGAATTCGATTTTAATTATTATTAATTGTCTTTCGTCATAGAGGGGTTCAACTCTGCATAACTTTCTCGCTAATGCTCCTGATCGTTAATTCCGTTTTAGTACGAACTAAATCATTAACGTTACTGGGAAAACTATTTCATTGGTGACGCTGTGACGCCATATTTCTGGTCATAATTTACCGGATAACCTCAAAATGTTACGCATACATTTACTTTCTATTTTATTGTCTATTTTTATTCTTTAAAGTCAAAATGTACGAATGTATTATTAGTTAACACTACTTTTGGAAACACTATTTTTGTAGATAATTTTTATTGATCAAGTAATTTAATATTTCTTTAGATGTCACATAAAAATATTGAACATCAAAATCTCTCGAAAATGTTCAACATTCTTAATTACTATCTTGACTCCCTTAAATTTAGAAACACTCCAAATTATTTTTAGTAGCTTCTTAACACTAAAAGGTTGTCACAAATCC